ATGCCGAATAACACGTATTCTCTATGTATTTGATTGACGACTAGCCTTAATCGAAAGTTCTTTCTCGTGATCGGGAGGGGTAATTAACTATAGGGGCTTGCGCCTATAGGAAACCAGAACTCAGATCATAAAGTCCTCGCAAAATGAGGGCGAAATCTCTGGGTAGTGTCTTATCTACAAACCCATCTGCCTTCCAAAATTTACCTCGGAACTTTGTTCGTTAAAACTCCCTCGCCGAATAAGAAAAGCGAGTGGAGGCCGAGGCCGAATTTTCGGAGCCCACAATAATGATTCTCTAATTTAGCTACGCATGAGAGGGAAAATTCGAATTCATTTGAAATTCAAATTTCGAATTCTTTCCATTTTTAGAATTCCAAAATAGGAAAGTTAATCATGACATCAATCTAATTCAAAATAGATTGGATTTAATATTAATTTTACTAAATCATAATCCTTGTTTTGAAACCTCCTGTGAAAAACCTTGATTGTTCAATCAAATTTGAATTTTGAAATCTTTTCAAATTTGGAACTCTATTTTTGGAAAGTTTTCAAGTCAAATCCACATTAATCTCTAATTGGATTGGATTTAAAATTCTCCATTTATACCTTCCATATTTAGCCACTTGTATTTTGGACAAAGAATTTGAATTCAAATTCAAAATAAATTTGAAATTCTAACACCTTCCTAAATAAAATCGCCTAACTTTGGGAAGCCCCTTTAATTAGTAATCAATCACAAATTTGAGATTGATTAGTCCATTAATTCCAATTCACCCACATTCATTGCACCTAGACATCTCACCCTCCCTCTCTCTCTCTCTCATGGCCGAAATTCCCAAGGCCCCACCTCCTTTATTTCTGATGCGAGCAAAAATCCCTGGGAGAGGCCCCCCCCCCCCCCCAAGAAATTCTTGATCACCTCAAAAATAACAAAAGAGAGACTTAGGAACTAAGTAATAAGAAGAACAAACTCTTACATTACTCAATCGACTCAAGCAAGACACCTTACAACTCTTACAAACGACACAAACACAAATTAAAACCTAAACCTGCTTTCCAAGAGATGAAGGATACAATCGAGTGGATACTTGCGGAGAGACGAAAGAGATTAGAAGACGAGAAGAATGGTGGAAAGAACTCGCAAGTCTCCCCGAGAGATAGAAGAAGAAGAAGTGGACAAAACTCGCAAACTTTTCCAAAAACCCTCAGGTTTCTTTCCAAAAATCACATCATAAACTTACTTAAAACAACCACAAACAACTTATATTTATAGACAAGAGAGGGTAATACAAACAGCCACTTCAATGATTTCCCACAGGAACCCAAGCATCACAAACCACGGAAAAGCCCCCCTAACCTCACGGGAAACAGCCCAGCCAGGGACCCGAAGAGGCAACCACGGAACCAAAGAGGCCTGCACCGAACCGAGGCGCCAAAAGACACGGAAAGGCCATCCAGCACGGAAAATCAGCAGCCAACCGGGGAAACCAAGGAGCCATGGCACAGAAACAGCCAACCGTGGAATCCAAGGAGCCAAGGCATGAAAAACAACAAGCACAGGGAATCCAAAAGCCATTTTGGAAACCCAAGGGACAAACTAAGAATTTTAAGAGACAAAACTATAAATAAAGAACTACATAAATAAGAAAATAAATGAACTAAAACCTAGCTAATAATGAGCTAACCTTTAGTTCAATAAATGAACTAAAAACCGGCTCATAATGAGCTAAATTTCAGCTCAAATTTTATTGAGCGAGCAAGCTTAAGGGAAGTCAAAACCAAATTTTTTGGGTTTGATTTGACCCCCCCTTTGCCTACATCAATTTCTTTCCAAAGATCAGGACTCTCCCTTTGGAATTAAATCCAAATCATCTCCTTCCCTCACCCCAATTAAATCAATTCTTGAATTAATTCACGGGAGGAGAGAGCCTTAAGGAAAGCTCTTGATCCCTACTTCACCTCCTTCCTTTCAACGGATCAGCCAAATTTCCCATGAACTGAGTTGCTGTCCAAGCTTTCCTAAGCAATTGTAGGTGGCTGGCCAGAATTTTCCAAGTACCAAAGCTGCTATCTAGCAATCTTAGCAATCTCCTATTGCTGTCCCGCTGTCTCTAAATTATAGATTGCTGTCCAGCTACATCCAGAGAGCTCGTGGTAGCTGTCTGCTTCCTCTCAAACAATTAAATGATCACAGGAGCTAGAGAGTCTGATTTTTCCCTGAACAGGGTTGCTTTCCAGTATTCTGGAGGCTGTTAAACTGCTGTCCAGCAGTTTTTCTGCAATCCCACACCAGCTGGCTAGCCCGGAATTCAACCCATTACTGTCCAGGCTTTTCTGGACATTATTGGATTGCTGTCCAGGGATTTCCAACAAGAAGAGTTGCTGTCCAAGACTTCTAGAACCAAAAACTGCTGTTTAGACTTCTGTATTTGTTCTTCAAGACCCATAGGATTCAACCCTCCTACCCGTTCTACATCACACCTCTAACACAAAAATTAAGGACAAACATGAGCTCTGGGGTTGACAAGGAGAGAATGTTAGGATTGCCAATTGCATCAAGCAAGAAGTTAGAGAAGAAGAGAATGTGTTGATGCCCATTTAAATCTAAAAAAGGAGCTAGAGCAGGTGACTGTTATTTATTAAGTATTCGAATGCATCACAAGAAACCTATCATTCATCAAAGAACTAAAAATCCATGTGTTGCAACTGAAGTTATACAATATGGTAGAGTTAAAAGAGTTCTTCGACAAACATGGGTGTGGGAATTGAGTGCTCCTCAAATTTGAGGTCGAACCTTATCAGCTTAAACAAAAATGTCGCAAATAATCACTCATAACTCTTTGCACCCATAACACTTCAACCTTTTGAACAATTTTATCAAAGTGTCCAATTCCTCAATTGTTGCAAGTGCTTCAACCATTGATAATGAGTATGAAGATGGAGCTATAAATATTTGATTTTTTTTTTCATCTAGTGGAGCTATGAGATAATGAAGAGAGAGTTGGACAAAGATATGCTGATCTAAGCAATGAGAATTTTTAGAAGGCTTAGTCGAGGTGGATTCAATTGTGAGATGTCAATGCTGACCAAGCTTTATTGATGTGGATATGGATCACCATATTTGGGGTCCGAAATAGATTTGTCGGAGCTTGTAGTAGCGAAATTGGTGCCTCGGAAGCAGGAGCCATCAAACACATTACTGCCCAAGAATTAGGGCTGGATGAATCTACAATGAGTGCCAAACCTAGGCATTAGCATGATTTGGGTAAATCTAGCGAGAGCATGAGTGGAAATCGGTGTTGAAACAGTGTTCAGGAGGTCACGACATCACCAGGTTTGAGTGTAAGTAGTTCATCAATGGAGATTGATGTTGGGTTTGAATCAAGAAGGGATAATCAATGACAATTGCAAGAATTCGAGGGTGGTATGCATGCATCATGACAAGGAGATGTGAGATCATACAGTATACTAGAAGATCCGCAAGAGAGGTTGGCATAGGGCATCGATGGATACAAATGCAAAGACATAGTTGAAGGCGAGGCATGGGCTTTGGATTCGGATAGAGATGGAGATAAATGGAGAAGGATTACCCATATCTCAATAATATTTGAATTGTTATGACCCCAAAACTCCAAGAAAACATGAGGTTGAGGAAGAAGAACAGAGTACCACAACAAAAATAGATTTTTAATTTTATTTAGGCCCTCATACTGCCAAAGAGGAATATGTTTAACATCATGCAAACTCATAAGACAAATTAATTGCCTATTTAACAATATAATACTGTTGTAGGCCATGGCTAATAGAACCTATTATACCTTATTACCTCAAACAAATTACCTAATATCATTATCGATCCTATTAATGTACCATCAAAGGTTTAATTGGCACATTGGTATACTTCATAAAGCTACTATATATATATATATATATATTAGGCAATAGAAATTTATCTCTTACATTTTATAAAATGTGCATAAGGCCAGTTATAACTTTTATGATGAGATACTGAAAGGGACAAACCCTTGTAACATGAGCCAAATTGAATGCTAATTTAATATTTTTCATTTTTCAAGAAGAGAGCAATAATGTGAGTAGAAACAAAAATCAAGATCACATAGTTGGAAGCTGAGGCATGAACCAATAAGTCACAAAGCCCATTTCAAGTGATTGTATAAGTTGAAATTGTAGTACCACATAATTTAAGCTTACAATTATGGACGGGATAAAAATCATTAACAAACACATATGATAGCAACGCTAGGTGAGTTCATTACAAAGAGAAGCAATGGCTATCTCTTAAGTATGAATAGTATATATTTATTTCTAGTAAAGTACACACTACATTTTCCATTGTTTTGCAGAAATGTGGAATAGAAAATAGATTTCTCATCAATAACATGCTTGACTGTTAAGTCAACATTCTAGTAAATAAAAATATGTAAGTATATTTTGCACCTGTAGGCCATGTAATATCTCAGGCATGGGAAGATCAGGGAAACGTTCAAGATCAATATATCCAACCTCCTCCGCCCTTTCAGCAGCAGCTTTAGCTTGCATGCACAGATATGTCAGAAGAAGAAATGTTATCCTATAGATTTGTATAGCCACGACATCAGAAAAATATGTTGGCTTAGCTTGAGCACATCCATTTACATAATCCTTAGTTACAAGTGGCAATCCTGTGCTTAATGAACTGGTGGCTTTATTTTTAGATGATACAGCAAGGGCAGAAACCACAAACCATCCATGTTTACTGCCAATAAAAGAGGGCTTCTCATTTAACTCATGCTCCTCTTTTAGAGTTGGCAAACAAAAAAGAGGAATCATTCTATTAGATAGGTCTCCAACATGCTGTGTTTCCTTGCTTATAAATGCCAGAAAATGAATGCTCTTCTGCCTTACTTCAAATTCTATTTCTTTCATGCCTTTCCTCCTATAGTTTCGATGTCTAGTCAGCAAACAAATGAGCAACAGAGCATGCTCAGAAAGCTTGAGAGATGCCAATGATGTCTGTGGATCCTGATTTCGAATTGTCTTATAACTTTGAACATCAGATGGAAAGTTAGGTGTAGTAAAACATAGTGAAATCATATTGTCCTTATCAGCAAAGAAGTTGTGAATAGCACTGCCAAAAATATCAATAAAAGAAGAATCATCACGCAGAGAATGACATACTGAGGAGATTATTGCAAATGTGAAACACAATAGGTGTGCATGCATGTTATTTTTGCCATAGTTAGTGGAGAAACAACCCACATCAGCATTAGGTTTCGTTTCATCCACCAGATGTTTGAATAAAATCTGCAGGGAAGGGAAAAGATTGACCGAATGAAGCATCTCAGCACCACCTTTTGGTTGTGCCAAAGTTAACAAGAAATTCAAGGCTATTGTAACTGAAGATAGAGAGATTCTTTGACGTGTAATTTGGATAAGATGTTTCAAAGGAAGATTCTCTTGTAGAATTGGCAACCAAATATCAGGCATCAAAAAACTTCTGAGCATCAAGTCCATTGATGCAACTGATTGATCGAAACATTCAATGCGTTCAACATACTTGCAAAGTACAGGTAATAGTCCCACAATTGCGAGAGATGTTTCAGCAAGCTGATTGTTATCTAAACCAGAGTCATCATTTGTGGATTCGCCAGGATTATTGAATTCCATAGACATCAGAAGCACCATGAGAAAGAATTTAACCGCTTTGTTGAGCTTAGTAGACAGCCTGCCCATAGCAAGTGACTTGAAACATGAGCCAGATGTTCTTATCAGACTTATTGAAACAGAAAAGAGCTGCTTCTTGTTGTTTCTTAGAGAATGTTGCATGAATAAGATTCTGGAGAGAACAAGCAACATTTCTGCTTGTGCTGTAAGCAGTTCTAACAGCTTCTCAGAAGGGTTTAGAAGTGGAACAAGCGAATCTTCTGTAGACTGTATGCATCTGCAAATATTTATAATACTCCGTTCTATGAATGCATCGGAGATTCCATGGCTAGTTATTGTCGATTTTGATTTGAGCACCTGCAAGAAAAGATAGAACTGCATTTCTAGGAAAAATTTTCATGTCTTAAAACAAAATTCATAGTTAGATTTTGATGAATTTGGAACCAGTGAAATGTCCACAATAATATTTCCTAAAAGCAAAAAAGTAAAGACTTTATTTTCTAAAACATAAGCAGATGATACCATGCAAATGTCTTCTCTATTAAAACAAGCTAAATCAGGAGCGGCCAAAATAGTGATGCAATAAAAAATCTATAGGGTAGTTAGATTGCATAAAAACTTACTGTCTTCCTTAAAAAAAAAACTAACACAAGAAATGAAACAAAACGCACCTTTCAACTTTTATACTTAGAACATAAAAACACCTAAAAAAGCTTTTCCTTCATTGATTGAGAAGAAAGATACAAATGGGGTGGACACTTGCAGAAAGAAGAAATAAATTAAAAGCCCGAGACAAATTAATAGAGAGGGGAAGAGAAAGGGGACTAGCTCGCAAGCTATCCAAGAAGAAACCCACAGGTTTTTAGCTCCAAAAATCACTCCATAACTCTCTCTAAAATGCCTCAAAACAACCACTATATATAGGAGAAGAGAGGGAGCAAAACAGCCCAATCAGTCGCCCAATATATCCAATCAGCAAAGGGGAGACAGAAGGCCAAAACGCAGCCAAAGGGAGCAGAACCCGAAAGGCCAGCAAGACACAGCCAATGACAGGGGGAAGGAACCGGACTGGCAGGGGAACCGAAGGGGCAAAACAGAGGGGGATGAAGCCGGCCAGGCAGAAGAAACGAAGGGCCACAAGGGGGATGAACCCCCCCCCCTGCCTACATCAAAAGATATCAAACAAAGCAACTGTTTAATCGCTATGAACATTTAACGAGGCTTGCATCCTAACCGATGAAAAGAAATTTGTTTGTTTTCATCCTGTCCTGCCTCAAATAGCAACACTTTTCTTTGAAAACCTTATTGATGAGGGCATCAGATTTCGACATGTGTACCATCGCCGGGGACGACGATCGACGGCCCTGATTCAGAGCCTTTATCTATGATGCTTTAGTTCTTTTCTTTTATTAGTTATTTCATGTTTCCGTTTGTACCCCTATGAGGGATGTTTCACTTATTGTAGCCCAAGGGCATTTGTGACTTTATGCTTTTATTTTTCTGTAAGCCTATATATAAAGGCTTGTATCATTGTATTGGATTATTGATTTTGAATGAAAATTTTCCATAGCTTGTTCTCTTTGTGAGTGCATGAGGTTCTCTTGGTGAGTGCTTCCCCTTGAGATCTCTTAGTGAGTTCTCTAGTTATCCCTTAGTTTATTATTTATTTTGTTTGCACAATCTTCTTCCCCTCAAGAGCTCTTCCAAAATTCCTTTGGTCTTGCTCTTGCCGCCGGCCCCTAAGGCTTTCCCCACCGCCGGCCAAGCTTCCACCGCCGCCCACCACCGTGCCGACGATCCCCCTCCCCCTCCACCACCTCCACGCCACCATCTCCTTTCCCCCTCCTTGAAATTTGCTTTTCAAGTTTCAATTTCTTTTCAAATTTGGGAGATCTATTTTAGGAAAGTTTTGAAATAAAATTCAAATTTGAACTTTAGATTTTATTTGGATTTTATTTCAGAAATTTTCAAATCCAATTCTCAATTTGGAAACCTCCTCTCCCTCTCCATAATTTTCCCTCCCTCCTCAAGCATGCCGCCGGCCCCCCTATGGGGAAATCCCATTAATGCTCAATTAACCCCCTTTAATCCTATTTGAAATTCAAATTAGGATTAAAATCTTCCCTCCACTTTTCTTAAAACTGAAAAGTTAACAATTGAGATTTCCGAAAAGCTTGAATTGGGAACAAGATTTAACTTGCAATTATCATGCTTGGATAATCTTTTGTTAAGCTTCTAAATACAAATCCTGGATTTACATCATATTACATCACTTATACATTTCTGTATTGGAAAAATGATGTGAGAGTCATAATGAGGCAGAGAAAAGGTTGGTGACTATACATGAACTGATGATGAACAAAAGGAATGAAGGCGATGGAAGAAAAAAAAAACATAAATACGAGTCTTGAGAGAATGGAATGTGATTAAAAAAAGTAGGGAGAAAATTCTACATCTTCTCACAAAACCATCCATGAGGATGTCGATAGCTATAAAAATGCACAGCATCATAAGAAATAATCTGAAAACCTAGGGCAAGAAAATTCTGTGCAGGAGTGAGTCAATGGACTAAAGTTGACATGATTTGAAAGCTAGTCACTTCCCTGGTTAATTTCAGAGGTATCTTTCAGATTTGAAATCACAGGAGGATCCTATAGAAGTCATGATATAATACTTTTTATTTCTTTTGCATGACTTATACAATCCAAATCTTCATTTAGCAATATACTTGAGCATTCGCAAAATTTTCCTAATTATGATAAGACAATACAACAGCATCATCATCAAGCATTTATCCCACTACGTGGGGTTCGTTATGATAAGATAATAAATGAAAAAAAAAAAACTAACCTTTTCATGATGGAATGACATAATAGAAATCAAAGCTTTCAGAGCAAAATTCTTGGTGTCTGCTAAGGATAACATCAAATTTGATGTATGCATGTAAGACAACATTCTCTCTCCGATTTCTTTAGCTGTCTTCCACTCTGATTTATCCCACAAATCAATTCCTAGCTCAGCCCTTATGTTTGAGATGTCATACATCATAACATCAGTGCTCCACAAATCCTTTTCATTAGTGCTTTCTTTACACTGGAAATTTTCAAAATTAAGAAGGAAAGCAGAGAGCTCCTGAAAATGACCTGGAGCAATAAATCGGCCCTCCAGCTCTCCCTGTAGATGGTAATAAAGATCATGGAGCACGAGACTGCTCACTTTCTTTCCATCACTACGAAATAGAAAAATGTTTCAGAAAAAAAAAAGGCAAGCCAAAGGATAGAAGATAAAGAAAATACTTAGCATAAGACGGAGTTTAATGTCTTGATATACAAATCAAAGTTCCTCACAAGAACAATAAATTTTACAGCTAAAAAAGGTTCATGTTAAGCTCAATAACTGCTCTGAGGTAGATCTGACTAAACATGGCAAAACAACAAGCAAAAGATGCGATGTCACGCTTATACTATCTGAAATATGTCGACCAAAATTAACAATCATCCAAATAGCATCCATTTGTGAAACAGATTAGACCAACTCATTTGGGAGACTAAAAATAGTTAAAATTGACACTCGCGTTATTTAGAGTATTTACGGGACCGAAATAAAAAAAAATGTGCTTATATGTGAGATGACTACATGGCATCGATTTGCGTAAGCAACAAAAATATTTAATAATAATAATAATAATAATAATAATAATATTATTATTATTATTATTATTATTATTATTATTATTATTGAAAAAAATAATGGATATTAACTAAAATTAAAGGAGTGTTACATTGTGAAAACAAGGAAGCTAATGTGTTAAATATGTAATAGAGCTTTGAGTGCTATGCGCCTATGCATGTAAATCCTCCTTTTTTTAAATCGTTAATACCCAATGAATTATGATTTGATAAATGATTGAGAATTTCGCACTTCTTAGAAATTGTTTAAGTCAAGTGATTGTGAAAATTTCACTTAATATAAAAAAAATAAATTTAAGTATGATCAGAACTTTGAAGTAAGCCAAGATCTGATTTAAAAATCTTAGCCAAAATTTTTTGAAGGTTTTGTCAATTAATCTAATTGGCACCAAGATGGCTCTAATTAGTTGATATTAGCATAAGTGTATTTGCGACAAGATTAGGGCTGCAAATGAGCCGAGTCGAGCAGAGCCGAGTATGTGTGTGTTCATATTTGAGTTCGTTTATTATCAAATTGTTCAAGTTTGGTTCGAGCTTTTTTGCTTGTGTTCAAGCTTTGTTCATTTAAATTAATGTTTGTTCATGTTTGGTCCATATTTGATTCATATTCGTTTCATTTCATGCTTATCGAGCTTTAAAAAAATGAGCATTATCAAGCTATAAACAAGCTCTACTTCTAGATGGTCATTAACTTAACAAACGAGCCATCTAACAAACAATTTCATCGAGCATGTTTGTGAACATATCTAACAAAGCTTTTTAAACATCAAACAAGCTCGTTTACGTACATATCTAATAGATATTCTTGAGCTATCAAATGAGCAAATTCATGAACATATCTAATTAGTCTTTTCGAGCTACCAAATGAGCTCATTCACGAATAAACAATCCATGATTCATCTTATATTATTTTATGAACAATTTAAACAAACAATATGCAAACATGAACAAAGGTCTCTTGTTCATGAAATTTATAAAAGTTATTAATTAACAATTATTAAATCATTATATTATAATAAATATAAAATAATTATATTATGTAAATTTATCAATTTTATAATCAAATATTAATCATGTTTTTAATGAGCTTATTTGGTGGGGGCAAGAAATATAGGGAGCCTATACCCCTCGCCCGCATGGGTGATATGACCGAAACGACGACCCACTAAACCACGAAACAAAGATGAAGACTAAAATGAGGAAGAACAAACTCTTACATTTCAAATCTAAGACCGAATTAAAAACAAAATTACAACGACCTACAAACTCGACTCGAAATTAAAAGACACCCTAAAGTTGCTTCACTTAGAGAAGAGAGATACAGGAGAGATGAAAGAGATTAGAAGCCGAGACGAAAGGTTGGAAAGAGCTCGCAAGATTTCCGGAGGAGATGAGAAAGAAGACGGACAAAGCTTGCAAGCTTTTCCAAGCAAACCCGCAGGTTATAGCTTTTCCAAAAATAACATTTCATTCACTCTTTTTAAACATTACATAACCCCCCATCAATATAGGTATGAAAGGGGAATACCAAAGGACACAAACAATGAATTCACATAGGAATTCCAAACATCACAAACATTAAAAACCTAATTGCTTTTCACGGAAAAACAGCCCAAGCCAAGGAACCGAAGGGGCAACCACGGGAGCCAAGGAGACCGCCCGGAACCAAGGCGCCACAGCCACGGGAAACCACCCAGGCTCGGAAAACCAGCAGCCGGCCGGAAATCCAAGGGGCAAAAGCACAAAAAATATTACCCCATGGTGGAAGCCAAGGAGCCTCACATGGGAAAAAGCAAATTTTGGAATTCCAAAAGCCGGTTTGGAATTCCAAGAGACAACTATAATGAAAAACATAAAAAATATAAAAAGTACATTTAATAAAAGATAAATATTAACTAAAATGTTAGCTAATAATGAGCTAACCCTTAGTTCAATAAATGAACTAATAACCAGCTCATAAATGAGCTAAAATTTCAGCTCAAATTGATTGAGGTTGTAAACTCGGGGGAAGCCAAAATTGATTTATTTTGGACATGAGTTGACCTCCCCTTTGTCTACATCAGATTCTCCCCTTCTTGAAGAACTCATCTCCCGATGAGTTAGCTTTGGTTTCTTTTGAGGAGGCAAAGGCGTCACATCTAATTCATTTATCTTATCTTCATATTTCTGCAGGATCTCATCTCGCTCTTTTAGGAATTGATCTTGTAAACGTTGCTTCTTCTTCATGTACCTTTCTGTATGTAGATGCATCCATACTTGAAGCTTGTACAGTTCATATTCCAGAGGATGTGTTGACTTTGATGGAATCCACCTATCCATAGAATCTTCAATTTCATCGGACTTGTTCTCGTTGATTTTTTGTCTTTTTTCATTTTTTTAGACTAAAAAATACTCAAAAAAACTCAATCTTAAAAAAACTCTAGACTCACAATTCTTTAAGAGATTCAACAAGATTCATAACAAAACAACTTGACTTGACAAACTTAACAAACTAAAATAAAATTTGACAAACTACAACTTGACAAACACAACCTAGGACTTCCTAATTTGCTCTGATACCAAATTGGTGGGGGCAAGAAATATAGGGAGCCTATACCCCTCGCCCGCACAGATGATATGACCGAAACGACGACCCACTAAATCACGAAACAAAGATGAAGAATAAAATGAGGAAGAACAAACTCTTACATTTCAAATATAAGACCGAATTAAAAATAAAATTATGACTTACAAACTCGACTCGAAATTAAAAGACACCCTAAAGTTGTTTCACTTAGAGAAGGGGGATACAGGTGGAGTGGCACTTGCGAAGAGACGAAAGAGATTAAAAGCCGAGACGAAAGGTTGGAAAGAGCTCGCAAGATTTCTGGAGGGGATGAGAAAGAAGACGGACAAAGCTCGCAAGCTTTTCCAAGCAAACCCGCAGGTTATAGCTTTTCCAAAAATAACATTTCATTCACTCTTTTTAAACATTACATAACCCCCATATATATAGGTATGAAAGGGGAATACCAAAGGACACAAACAATGAATTCACATAGGAATTCCAAACATCACAAACATTAAAAACCTAATTGCTTTTCACGGAAAAACAACCCAAGCCAAGGAACCGAAGGGGCAACCACGGGAGCCAAGGACACCGCCCGAAACCAAGGCACCACAGCCACGAGAAACCACCCAGGCTCAGAAAACCAGCAGCCGGTCGGAAATCCAAGGGGCAAAAGCACAAAAAACATTACCCCATGATGGAAGCCAAGGAGCCTCACATGAGAAAAAGCAAATCTTGGAATTCCAAAAGCCGGTTTGGAATTCCAAGAGACAACTATAATGAAAAACATAAAAAGAAAAACATAAAAAGCATAAAAAGTACATTTAATAAAAGATAAATATGAACTAAAATGTTAGCTAATAATGAGTTAATCCTTAGTTCAATAAGTGAACTAAAGACCAGCTCATAAATGAGCTAAAATTTCAACTCAATTTTGATTGAGCTTGTAAACTCGAGGGAGGCCAAAATTGATTAATTTTGGACATGAGTTGACCCCCCCTTTGTCTACATCATTATTCATGAGTTCTTGATGCGGACATCTGACGGTGGACGATATTCAAAGGAAGTGTCGAAAACTGACGAGCGAGATCACTCCGTTTTATTTTAGTTTATTAATTATATTTTGATTTAATTTGCATTTTTTTCCTTTTTTTACCCTTTTTTATTTAAGAGTCTTGTCTTATGTAAAGCCCAAGGGGCAAATTTATCTTTTAATTTTTTTTAGGCCTATATATAGAGGCCCACTTCTCTTGTATTAGGTATGATGGATTAAAAAAAATTGTTCCTACACTTTGTTCTTGAGAGCGATGGGAGTTCTTAGGAGAGTGGAAGTCCCTATGTGAGGGTAATGTAATACCCACCAGCAGCAGGACGTGTCCAGGCTCGTGGTTGAAGTCCCTTGGTGAAGGGCAACATAATACCCGTCAGCCTTTGAAAGAGTCTGAGACTCGCGGTTTTCTTTGTTTTTATTTATTCTTTTTTCTAATCGTCATCTCCATCCTCTCTCCAATCCCGCCGGCTTCATCCCCTCCACCCAAACCCGCCGGCTTCTTCCCACAACCCTCTCTTCTTCCCCACCGAAATTTCACATCCCCCTCCTAAGCCAAACCGGCCATCTTCTTCCCCTCCCCCCCTCCAAATTCCCTCCATGAATTTTGAATTTCAAAATTCAAACCTCCCTTAATTACTTTCCTAAAATAGCTCATATCAATTTGGAAAGTGTCTTTATTTGAAATCAGTTCTCCTTTTGAAATTCAAATACTTTCCTCTTTGATAATCCTTTAATTAGGAAGCCTCTCACAATTTCATCTTGTATTTGAAGCCTTCCTATTTTATACATCTTAATTTGGTAACGAATTTGAATTCAAAATTCAAATTAATTTGAATTTGAATTTATTTCCTAAATTTAGATTTGATTTAAATTAATTAAATTAGGAAAGTTATTTAAATTAGGTCCAATTAATTTTTTGATTGGATTTGATTTCAATTAAT